CCTCGTGCTTATCTGTACTTACACGCACACTGTGTGCTGCATGCTGTGGCATATGTTGTAGAGGTCACAGGTCACAGGATTATAGGATAGATTTTAGAGGTCACAGGATTATAGGATAGATTGTAGAGGTCACAGGATTATAGGATAGATTGTAGAGGTCACAGGATATAGCAATGGCAATGAAAAATTACATTTTCGTCCAAATTGCTTAGAAATGGGCTTAAATGAAAATAAAGTGAATTCTAAGAACTATGGTTTTTAAATTTTTTAAAAATCCATTGATAAATAAAAAAGTTATTGGGATTTTTGTTTGCATTCATAGAGGAAAATATGGCCAAAAAGTGGGACATGTCTTGGTGTATTTGGAGGAAAAACTGTTCACAAGTCAGTAATGAATTGGAGTATATGAATGAAACTTGGCATCCTCATGTGATTTTTTGGTGCAGAATCTAGTTCTACTATCACTTTTTCAATGTCTTTATTACTTTGGATCTTAAAGACTGATATTTGCGTGAAATTTGTTGAATTTGTTGATGTGACATTTTTACCGCGACACGATCACCCCTTCTAAAACTCTGTAAAGCTCTGTCGGGAAAACCCGCGATGAAGTCATCGGTGACATATTTAGTTATAGGCAGCCAGTCACATGCGCCTGGTGATCACGCGCCTCTTGCATGCCGGCACCTCGCGTTTGGAATGCGTGATCTAGTTTCCAGATCTAGTGTTTTATCAATGGATGGGTGGTAATTTTAAGTTGGTACGTAAAATGTACTACACACAGAGATCTGAAATGTTACAGCAATAAAGAAGACATGTGGGGCGCCTGTGTGGTCGGCGATCAACCCGCAACTCCGCTTGGTTTTCGAACTGCAGAGGAAATTCGCACAAACACGGCAATAGCTCCGGTTCTAGAAACCGTTCGGGATTGTACGCTGGCATGTCGTTAGTTTTATCTTTCCTCTGATTGGGTGCCAGGTTTCATTTATTTTCGACTTCGAGATTTCCCGTAACTATACTTAGAAGAGATTCACTTCTGGTTCCGAGCGGCCCAAAAATTACCCCTCGCGCGGAGGCCGATTTCCGGCCCAAGGCGCAGCGGGTGATTGGCATTGCTACAGAATAGATTGTAGAGGTCACAGGATAGATTTTAGAGGTCACAGGATAGATTGTAGGGGTCACAAGATAGATTGTAGAGGTCACAGGGCATGCATGAGGTTCTCACAAGGCATGTACACATCTACAGGTCCCCGGAGGTAAAAAACGCTCAAGAAAAGCCCCAAAGAAGGCGACGTCTGGTGTAAGATTTTCCTTGTCGTGTCTGTGTCTAACCCAAGTCCCTTACTCTGTCTGTCTAACCAAAGACACTTATGATGTTGTCTCTCACTCTCACCTTTGTGTTTGTGGGTGGTTGGCGGGTGCTCTGGTGTGGTTTGCTCCTTCTTTCCTATAAAAAAATCTATGGTCTCTATCTCCCCTACTTTTTGTTGTTGCGTCTGTTACTGTGTTGTAACAACTCTAATCTTTGGCACTTCTATGACCGTATTGTGTTGTAACAACTCTAATCTTTGGCACTTCTATGACCGTATTGTGTTGTAACAACTCTAATCTTTGGCACTTCTGTGACCGTATTGTGTTGCCAGTGCTGTAAAACTCTTACTAAAACTAACTGACATTGTGTTCAAGTTCTGTATCTCTGTCTCACTCT